TAGTTTATTATATAAAAACATGTGATGATCTTAACTTTAGAACTTAAAACGATGTGTTTATCGAGCAAATATATATATATTAGAAACTTTTGAAAATAATTTTTTATTTCAAAATTTATTGTGTATTTTATTTTTTCTAAAAAAACACAAAATCAAACAAATTTTCATACATTATTTTTGAAAAAAATTGAAAATAAAAACAAAAAACGAAACAACTTCTGGAAAACGTACACTGTTTTGAACTTTTCAAGTTCGTTATTTTAATATAACTTTTAGAGGGTTTTGTTTTTTTTTTAAAAATGTTGCAATGAACTATTAAACTGGTTTAGAAAGTGATGTTGGTACATATAAAATATATATAATTGAAAACGAGCGGGCAGATTTTATATGGGGTCAGGGTCTTTGTTGCTGCTTAATTGGATATTTGCAAATTTCAAACTCACACTTGATGTTCTTAATTAACTTTCTTGCGGTGTTGGTCGAAGAAAATCAAGATATAAAAGCAAAAACACAGAATATATCTATACAGTGGATTGTGCAGCCATTTGGATGATCTTGGATGAGGTTACAGTTGGCACTAATATGCTGCGAATCAAACAAAACTCATAAAATTATTTTTTAAAAAATTATTTTAATTTAATATTTCATATTATATTATACATATATTAAAATATGTCAAATCAAAATTGAATAAAAATTCATTCAATTTTATAATTTTTAATCAAATTTTTGTATTTGACTGATTATTCTTTATATTTTTCATGAATTTTTTATTAAAAAATATTATTTATTTATCTCTATTCATAAATTAAAATTTTTTTATAATAGTATAAAAACATCAAAATCAATGAATTCTTAGCTAAAAAATTATTTTGTAAATTATTTTTTAAAACGTTTTTTTCCTAAAAATTTTTTTATTAAGAAATCGAGAGAAAAAAGAATCAAAGTGACCAAAATGAAACAAAAAGAAGGATCAAAATCAAATAAAAAATATTTATGACATAAAAAAATAATATTTAAAAAAGATGAGCTAAATTGTAATTTCACGAAATCTTTAATAATATATATCTTAAAAATATTTAAAAACTATAAAAATTCTGTTACATTGTAAAACGAATAATACATCCGAGTTTAGATAAATAGTGCAAATAAATTTAGGTGAATAATATTTTAAATAGTATAATAAATAGTAACCATATATTTTACTTTAGGTTTTTTTTTTTTATAAATAATTGATATGGTGTTCCAAACCTTCCCAGAGAAATTAATCATTATACACATGTGTTAGTACATGTATGTGTATTCTTTTAATCATTGCACTACTATGGGAAACCTAATTAAAGTACGATTTCAGACAGGTTATGGACATTTCTGTTTATTTTGTGAAGATCAACTGTAAAAGGGTCAGTTAATCTATTATCATAATTTTTTTTTTTTTTTACTTTTCTCTTTTGCTTTGAATACTAACTCATAATTAGTGTCTGCCATCATGAGGTTTGATCTTCTCTCCTGTATTTTAAATTGTAATGTTCCTTCTTCTTTTATTTAGTATAAAATGATTTCTCGAGTTAATTAGTATCAAGGATTTTTATGCATATCGATGAAGATTCCTGTTTTCAATCTAGTATTTTATGAGCTGTAGGGAAGTACCATTAAACTGATGCAGAGAAATCCCAACAGTTCAAAAATATTTTTTACAATCAAACCATAAAAAGTCGGAAATAACTAATTGAATGAATTGGGTAGATAATAGCCAACATACAACTATAGAATTATGCAATACCTTATAGATACCAACCATAATTTTAAATAACGACAATTACGTTATATAATGATCGTTATAATGATTTCGAAATATTTTATTATTATTATTTTAATATTATAGTAAATCGCGATTTGCGATGATAATTGTGATTGTTTTTTCAACTCGTCTCGTGATCTAAAATTATGTTTTTAAGTATTGTAGTTAAGATTGTAAGAATCTTCTCCTTTTTATTTATTTAAATTAATACTTAGATATTTATCATGATTGAATTGCTTGGATCAACTAGCTTTAGAGAAAAAAATGTTTTTTTATTTAAAATTAATTCTTATATATATATATATATATATATATATATATATATATATATATATATATATATAGTTATAATTATTTTTTTAGTGATATCAAGTTTTTGATGCATGATATAAAAAATATTCTAATAATTAATTGAAAAATAGACTTAAAAAATAAAAAAATTAATCTTAGTTGATACTACTCAAAATAACATGCTATCAATTAAAAAATAATAAATAATAAATAAATAAATAAATAAAAAGGGAAAGGAAAAGATAACTCCAACTTGTATTTTCGAGCTTACATTTTTATCCTTGAGATCAACAATTAAAAAAAAAAAAAAACCGGGCCACGTGTCTTCTTAAATCGGTAACATGTAATCCACCGCATGCCCCTTTCAGTGGCACTGTTCTCCATTCGTGAGGTTAGAAAATCGTAAAAAGAAACGGAAAAAAAAAAGGAAAAATAAGAGTGCTAAAAGGGGTTACCAATCAAGCATGCTCAGGATCAGTGATCTCTCCACGTGTCAAAAACGTATTGGCCAGAATACAAAAAGTTCAAATCAAGAAAGAAAGGTCCTTTGACTTTTGTTAAAACTTTAAAGTACCACAACAGTGACACTTGGCAAGTTCTCTCAACCCCTCCATGCTTGGTCCTTTAACACGCGCAAAACGTATTCGAACACTTCACAAAACGACAAATCACCGGCGTGTCTGAAAACGACAAAGCGGCGGTAGATCCTCCTCCAGTACTTGTTAACTTGGACAGTAGGGCAGCATCAATAGAAGCCTTACTAATTAAGTATTATATTGTTTGATTAACGTTTTTCTATTTTTTATATCAATTAAGATTAAATCCATAATTTTTTTAAATTAAAATAGCATCAGAATATATTTGGTTTTTGGTTAATTACTGAGCTCTCTCTTATACCAAATTAACCTAAGCTTAATATCATTAAAAATTAATTATAACTAATTATTTGTTGATAATGAAAATTGAATTTTGATCTTATATATATATATATTAGTTTTTACATCAATTGAGATTAAATCCATCATTTTTTTAAATTAAACCAGTATCAGAACATACTTGGTTTTTGATCGATCACTAAGCTCTCTCTTAGATCAAATTAACCTAAGCTTAGTACCACTAAAAATTAATTATAACTAGTTATTCGTAGATAATGAAAATTGAATCTTGATCTTAACCAAACCAAAACAACTCTCTTACCACTTCTTTTGTAATTAAAAAAGTTTATTTATTTTCATGATTTTTTAGATTTAAATCTTGAATTCAGCATTTACAAAAATTTATAAGATATTTTTGAAAGCATCCAAACAATGCGAAGAAAGCACTATTAAAATGTATTAGATAAAAACTTAATCTAATTGATAAACAAACGATACTTTTATTATAAAAAAGACAAATAGCTATTGATATTATAACTAGTAACGAGTTGTAAGTTAATTGACATTAATAGATTTAAGAAAAAATTGCTCATGTACTTGTATATGTATTTAGGTGGAATTCTAATCTAATTCTAGTTGCTTTTTAAAATTTTTAATTTTGATGTTTTTCTTTTGAATAGTTAGATATAAGTTAATGCATAATAGCTTTCCTTTCCAAGGTATCTTCTCAAAATCAAATCGATCGGAGATGATAATGTTTGAAGGTTTTAGTAAAATCCAATTTTAAAAGTCTAAGATCCAAGATTTAGGTTAAAATATAATAAATGAAATTCTTATAAATCCTCTAATCATAATTCATAATTTTTCTTTTGATCAAAAAATTTAATTTAGTTTTGATATGTAAAAACAAAAACAAAAATGCTTTATAGTAAAAAGAAAAAAAAGTTAATTATATAACTCATAACTAATTTAATTTAACACTTTGATTTTAATTATCAAATTCGGATCAGATAGATTGATATGAAAACCCAATAATTTAGAATTTAAATGACATGATTAAAATCTGCTTAATCTAGTCAATAAAAAAAAAAAAAAACAAAAAACTTTTTACCAAAAACAAGAGTATTATTAAAAAAAATTAAAAAAAAAATGTTAGAAATGAATGTTAAATCTTGGTATTGACAAACCTTGGCTTTTTGTGTTTCAAAAAATTTGTCATCCCACTATGGACAAATTATCATAAATATTTGTTTGTGTGTATATATATATTATAAAATTTTCATATACCGTGGATCCATCGAGTAAATCTACTGACCAGATGCGCTGACTTGTGACCCGAAACCTTGTTCGGGTCATACTTGAATTAGTATCTTGACAACTGTGCTTTTGATTAATAAATACTAACCAAACTCACATAACCCATGTTTTTTTAAGTTGTCTCTTTTTAATGAAAATCTTTTTCTCATCTCTGAAAAGTAAAGAAGGCAAGACCAAAGACTTCATCTCCAAAATCTCTCTTAAAAGCTTTCACACGAAGTCTCTCTGGGTTTCGTCTGTGGTTTTTCTTTTCTAGTTTATAGCATCCTGAGAGCACCTTTCCTTTCTGATCTTAATTTAGTTTTCAGTGTTCAAGATTCAACTTTGACCATCAACCGGCCGGTGATCGGTTGCTTTGGTTTCTTTGGTGTTTTTTTAATCAAGTTCTGATGTGGAAGTTGTAGTAAGCTTTTGGCAGTGGTGTCTCTGGGTTTAATCATTGAGTTCTTTGGTTAATGTGAGATTTTGGTCAGATAGGCGAGTCTCATTAGAGCTGTTAGGTAAGTTAAAAAACACCCAACAAGGAAAAAAAAGAGAGTTCCGTTGACTGGTAGCTAAGGGGGAGAGAGGGAGAGAGAGAGAGCGAGCAAAAAAGAGAAAAGCCAAACCCTAGAAAAAGTAGTAAAATAGAAACTTTTGTCTCTTTTTCAATTTCTTACAAGCTATAAATGCTATAGATTTTGCTGTCTTGTGTTTTTGGGTTTGAAGTAGGAATCATGCCTGTTGATTTAGATAATTCGTCTACAGCTTCTGGTGAAGCTAGTGTCTCTTCCTCTGGTAACCAACCAACACAACCACCGCCACCACAACAACCACCGTCCAAGTCTGCTGCCACCGCCAAGAAAAAACGCAACCTCCCTGGAATGCCAGGTAAAGGATTGGTGAATATGAATAAATATTGAAACTTCGTTAGTTTTTGGTTAATTAAATTTAACTGATTTTTAGTTTTTTTAATTTCTTGCAGATCCAGATGCAGAGGTGATAGCCTTATCGCCTAAGACCCTTTTAGCTACAAATCGATTTGTATGTGAAATATGCAACAAAGGGTTTCAAAGAGACCAAAACTTGCAACTTCATCGACGAGGACATAATCTACCATGGAAATTAAGGCAACGATCAAGTAAAGAAGTGAAAAAGAGAGTTTATGTATGTCCTGAACCAACTTGTGTACACCACGATCCATCAAGAGCTCTTGGCGATCTAACAGGAATTAAGAAGCATTTTTGCAGAAAACATGGGGAAAAGAAGTGGAAATGCGATAAATGTTCGAAGAAGTATGCTGTTCAGTCTGATTGGAAAGCTCACTCAAAGATTTGTGGTACTAGAGAGTATAAATGTGATTGTGGTACTCTTTTTTCTAGGTAATATTAGCATCAACTTTTTGTTCTTTATGTGATTTTTGGTGGGTTTGTTCGGATTTTGAAGTTGCGTTGTTTTGGCTGGTTTTTGAAGGAGGGATAGCTTTATTACACACAGAGCATTTTGTGATGCCTTGGCGGAGGAGAGTGCTAGAGCTCAAACTCAGACTCCGAACCCAAACCCAAAGCCGGAATCTGACCCGAAAGTGCAAGTTGATTCATCTCCACCGCCAGCACCACTACCACCACCAGTGGCCTCAGATTTTGGTCCGGGTCAGGGTCAGGCTCCACCAGGACTAGCTCAGTCAACTGGGATGATGTCATCTCCAGTTTTGGCAATCCAGAGTCCAGGTAAAAGATTTGGAACTAAATTTGGAAACTTTCAAAAATTCTGTTTAAGATTTTGTCGGTTATGATTTTTGTCTTAAACAAGAAAATCTTTGTTGTTTGTTGTTATATCTCTTTGTCTTTCTTTAGATCTTGGAGTTTAGTAGTTTTTTGTCCGCTACTGATTTTTGTTGTCATGTTAAGTTAAATGGCACTGGATAGATTTGTATTGTAGAGCTAAGAAAGCAAGAAAAATAAGGTCTTGAAAAATATTTTGAGATTCAATTTGTGCAATCTTTGGCAAAGGACTCAAGTGATTCAAAAGCTGAAAGGGAAATAGATTTGGGTTTAGTTTAGATAAAGCGAACTATTATTGACTCTTTGCCTTTTTTTTCTAAAGTTCTTCATAAAGAAAAGCTTAACTTTCCATGTCTGGATGTTAAGTGCCCCCTTTTTATGTCATCTTTGTTTTTTCCCCCCTTCCCTTTGAATCTTTTCAATTTTGCATTATGCAGAGTTGCCAGATAATCCCACACAAATTATAGAACCAGCACCAGCACCAGCACCAGCACCAGCACCAGCACCAGCACCGATGCCGGCCACAGTAACTTCTGGGTTCAATGGAAACTGCAGCACTAGCACTAGCTCAAGCAGCAATGGCAGCAGCACCAGTAGTGTGTTTGCTAGTTTATTTGCTTCCTCAACTGCTTCAGGAAGCTTGCAGGCTCCTCAGACTCCTGCATTTACTGATCTAATCCATGCCATGGCTCACCCTGATCGCCCAACAGACCTTGCTCCATCATCCGAACCGATTTCTTTGTGTCTCTCCTCTAACCATGGGTCATCAATATTCGGCACCGCAGGGCATGAACGTAGGCAATATGCACCACCACCACAACCAGCTATGTCTGCAACTGCACTGTTACAGAAAGCTGCTCAAATGGGAGCTGCTGCTACAAGTGCATCATTTCTTCGTGGGCTTGGAATTGTGTCATCTTCATCATCATCTGCGCAGCAAGATAATATGCAATGGGGTCATAGGCAAATGGAGCCTGAGAATGCCTCAGTTACCGCAGGGCTTGGACTTGGCCTACCTTGTGATGGAGGTTCTGGATTGAAGGAATTGATGATGGGAACTCCTTCTGTATTTGGTCCAAAGCATGCCACTCTTGATTTTCTTGGACTGGGGATGGCTGCTGGTGGGAGCCCTAGTGGTGGTCTATCGGCTCTCATTACATCTATTGGTGGTGGTCTTGATGTGGCTGCAGCAGCAGCTTCTTTTGGAGGTGGAGAATATTCTGGCAAAGACATGGGACGGAGCTGATGACATTTTAGAGTAAGGAACTATACTTCTCCATTTTACTTGGGGAATTAAGGTGTATCTGTACAGTGTTCTGGTTCAGGGCAACTGATTTTCCTGAGGAAATGATGACGAGATATAATCTTGCATATGGCATTGCTCTAATGAAGGTGAGGTCAGCCCATCAATTGGGGGTTGGATCTTTCCAAATTTTATGCTGCCTTGGTGTAGATACGTGACCAAAAATTCAGGAACACTTTGCTTCCTGATTTATGTAATTGGGGAGTAAGTTATTCAGTATTATGATGCCCTAAATGTTTAAGGTCGCTACAGCTGAAAATCTGAACCGTAGTTCATCTCTTTGAAGTAAACTTGGTCGTACGTTTCTCCATCTACTATTTTACATTTATTGCTCGGTAACAATAATAAAGCAGATGCAATTTCAAAATTTGATTAGCAGCTGCAGACTTGGAAGGAGGAACTTTGTAAATGTGTAGCTGCGAGGTGGGAATTAGACGAGGACCAGGTATCTTGCTGCCAATGGATGACATTAGCTTGGGATATGTATCTTCTAGTTTTGTTGTATCAAGATCTTGCTTCCTTGACCTTGTCAGGACTTACACAAATTTTGTTTCTGTATATGAAATCTACTCTCAAGTTGTTGTAAATTTTGAACTACTGTAAGTTTTATCTTTATGCATCGGCGTTGGTAGATTTGCTAATGAATTACATGATGAGATATTGCGGGCTTCCCTGTGGTCCTGTCATCTGATAAGCTTTTGAACTTTCATAACAAGACAATGAAGTTCTGTCTTGGACATTAATGATGGACAAAATTGCTTGCAGAAATGCGTACTGTTTGTCATAATTTGGATAAAAGAGGGAAATAAATGAGACAGCAAACTTACAAATGATTGATGCAAGAGACAGTGACCAAGTCACGTCTCTCATTTTATGACACCAACTGTGTTCTAGTCGCTCGTGACAGTCCTCAAGACAGGGTGAATCCTGCAAGAGAACTATTCAGATCCACTCTATTCATTAGTCAAATATTACAGATATGACTCATGAGCCAAGGGTGACATCTAGAATGCAATTAGCCATGGAATTCAACAAAGAACCATTAACTATTCTCTGAACAGTAACTCTTTCTGGCTTCTTGGTTTCTGGTCAACAACATCTCATGCTTCCATCTTAAATGGTTTTACTGCTATAGCTTTCAAATTCATCAACACCAGTACTGTATTTTCAGCCTTTCTTTTTCGCATCCTTTATTTTAACGAAGAAAAGCTTCTGTGATTGTATTTACTTAGCTTTTAAGTTTTTACAGTACACTTTGTGATAAGATGGAGTTATTGAAGTCAGAAATAATGGAGGCTGGATCATAATTGGGTCGCAGAGTTGGACTGGACCCCAAAAAAAAATTACTATTTATTACCTTGCGGCTTGCAAGGTCAAAATATCTTGAGCAACGTGTTAGCTAGGTTTTCGTCGTTTAATGAATCTAATCTAATCTAACTAACCTCGATCGTGTTTTTTTAATTGTCATGGTATTTTCAAGCAAGTTCGAACTTTACTCACCGGATTTTACGTAGACGGTTTTTTTTTCCTCACTATATTTATCTATGACGAGATATTTTTAATTTAATTTTTATATCAATTAAGATTAAATTTATTTTTTAGATATTTTTTAAATATTTTTTAGTTTAAATCAACGTTATAACATTCTTAATTTTTTTTCGATTATCAAAATATTTTTTAAATCAAATCAATTCAAATCTATTACTAAAAAAGATGAATATGATTAATTATTCATAAATAATTAAAATAAATTTTTTATGTCCTTGCATGGGGCAACCTCAAAACATATTAATGGCCATGGCTTAATTAGAGAGTCATCATTGGGATCGAATACCAACTATGTAAACTTGTGAAACAAGGGACTGTGGTTAGGTAGCTAGATCTTGGATCCTATCAAGTTGGTTTGACCAATTACATGGCAGTATAAAAAAACACAAGAGCCCTAAGAACAATAAATACATTGAATTTACACAATTGAATAATATATAGGTATATCAATGAAAGTCCAATCTCAGCCTGTCTTTACTTGTTGTCGTTTTCCTGCTTGTGATATCTTCTACCATTTTTTTGCCTCAACTAGTTTCCTTGTTATTAAATCCCAAAGTCCATGTTTGCCTCTTTGTTTTTGTGAAATTTAATACATAGTTTATATGCTAGTACCTAATAGCAGAAGCTGTCAGCTCTGATGAGATATCAAAGCTCACTTGTGATCCAAGTTTTGTTTAAAAAAGACCCAGATTTTATGCAGCTGATTGGTAATTAGTCAAGTAATTGTCTTATTTTATAGAACTGGAAGGCTGTAGCTTGTAGCCTGTAGGCCCCTTTCTCAAAACTAATTGCATTTTCGTTTTAGACCTTAGATAATGACAATTTGTTACGTAAATACAAGTGATAAACTGTTAATAAGTTCTAGTTAATTACAGTTCGTCACGCCGTCAATTGAATCATGTAATTTAAACTCATCATGACATGTGATAAGTTGTCATTGATTAGAGTTTGTCATTTGTGCTTATATGATATATCAGAATTTAAAACAATAATAATATAAAAATAAAATTTTTAAATTAGATAGATAAAAAATTTAAGATTTTAATAAAAAAAATTTAAATTATACAATATCTTGATACGTGTGTAAAAGACATTCATAAAATAAAACGGAATGAAAATAAGAGGCAATAAGCAATTGGTGAACTTTTGTGGTTACTTAATAAGTTGGGATTTGAAGCACTGGAAAGCCAATCCACAGGTCAACAAATAGATACCTGACAAGAAGAGGAGACTGAAGCCAAGCTAGTTACATAGGAAATGGCCCATCTAATCTCATATTTGTTAGTGCACAAAATTTTCAAGTTGGATGTCGTTCATACAATCTTTCCAAAGAGCATTACCCTAAATTAGTGTGATCAGATCATGACTAGCGACTGGATCAGTCTTTCCAAAGAGCACCAGGAAGACCTTGTGGTCCAAGTCTGAGTTCCAAATTCCAAGTCCCAACTAGCGAGCAAGCAAATAGTGATTCCCACCTCAACCTTCTCGAACTGATCAAACTTGTGCTTGGACGCACAAACTTGTCCAATCCATTGCACTGTGCTTGATTTTGAGTTATGGTCAGATTCATCCCTCTTTTTCTTATTTTGAAAAGAAAATGCTGGGTTTATGACTCATAGTTTTTGAAGTGTTAAGCAAATACAATGAAATAATGATAAAATATTTTGACCATTATAAATAAACTGAGAAAATATATAGTTTTAGTATGGAAAATATGAAGATTAAAGGATTTTTTTAGTATCATAGTCAAGTTTTGGATATAAAAATAACATGAATTAGATAGAATTTTACAGAAATATGTTAGATTTTGTGTTTCTACCCTTTATTTATTTTCTTGAAAAAAAAAATATTAGACTAAACGGCTAATTATATCATTGGTGTTTATGAACATGATTTCTAGAGTTTATAGAAATTTTTAGATTCAAGAATTCTTTTAAAAAAATTTGTTTCATCTACCCATCTAATCCATTTTTCTCACTACATCATTAACAAGAGTAAAATTGGCAGTATTTTTCTAAAAAAAAAAGAAAAAGAAAATTGAAGAGGCAATCATGTTTCCCGCTGCCCTTACATTTGCTATGTAGGAAGGACATCATTAATATATAGCTATGGTTTTGTTCCTTTGAAAGTTACCCACTCAATCTTAGCAAGAATTAAATTGAATTCATACATTCAACTTTTCATAATAATTATATTTGGTGAACTATAGGGTTAATGGTTCAATCTGTCATTACATATCAAGATGATTTTTTAATTTATGATTATATATTTAATTGAGTTAATTTTATCATTAAATTTTTAATCTATCATTTTAATAATATTTTTAGACCAAATCACCAAAACTAATCACTTAATTTATACATGAATTAATATTTTTATTTTCATAATATCTATGCAAACTAGAGAAATAAATTTAAAATTTTATATATAAATCAAGTGATTAATTCCCCTGGTATTGTATATAAAACTAATTAGAAATATAGTTTAGAAACCTAACGTATATTTAAAGATAAATTAAGTTATTTAAATACATCAGAATATAATAAAATATTCCCATATTATATAAAAATAGATTCAATCATTGACATGAAAAGATAAAATCATAGTTTACCTATGTAAACTTGGAACTTTGATTGAGCTTGCGCAAAAGTAAACCCTAGCTGACAAGTAGCAACGGGGAGATCACAAGCTATGGTCCATGCCCATTGCCTCACTTGCAAAAAGTGCGCATCGTGGAATTTTACACGGACATCGACCATTGGACACTCCAACCAGCCCAAACCAGCCCAAACCAAGTATGCCCTTTTTATATAAGGTTAAAGATACATGATGTCTTTTTACAGATTTATTTATTTTAATCGTATCTATTTATTAATTTTTTTAATAATCATATTTTTTATTTTTAATTTATGTCTTAATTTCATTGCTTTGGCTAAATTTTACGATAACTGTATTAATTTATAGCGACATACTCACAGAATGCTGACAAATGACATTTAAAAAAAAATTAAAAAAATTAAAAAAATCTTAAAAAATCTGAAAAATTCCAAAATGCTCCTATTTTTCTACACCTTTATGTATAGAAATAAATAATTAATTTCATCTGTAATTTCTTTTTTTCTTTCTCTCAAATTCTGAAAAAAAAATTTAAAAATCCTAAAATACCTATCTTTTTCTGTACTTTTTTGCTTATGTTATGAAAAAAATTTCACAAATTATTTTTGGATTTTGATTTGAAATAAATTTTCATAATAAATTTTTGAAATGAATAAAAAAATTTTGCTTCTACTCTTTCCTATACATAGAAAATTTTCTTTTTTGGTTTGAATTTAAAAAAAAATTGAGGGATGAAAATAATTATTTAATTCTATACATTTGTAGAGAAAAAGATCGGCATTTTGGAATTTTAATATTTTTTTCAAATTTTTTTATTTTTTATTTTTTGAAAAAAAGGTAATGTGTCAGCATTCTGTGAGTCTGTAGTCAGAAATTGATGCAATTATTAAAAAATTTGGTTGGAGAGATGAAATTAAAAATCAAATTAAGAGGAAAAAGACTATTATAGAAAAAATTTGTAGAAAAATACAATTAAAACAAATAAAATAATTGAGGAACGTACTAAAACTATAACGATGCAATCCAAATATAACTGGCATCAGCCCAGCCCTTAACTGCTAGACACATCAACTAGTGAAGGCCCAAGTTGTCAACATGAAAGGTTCTTCTTACGGCCCAACTTGCTATCCATGTAGAGATATTTTCGATTTGTGGCAACTATAACCTGCAAACACCAACCCAAACATAGAGTTGCGCCTTACACAATGCACATCCTCTCTCGAGACACCAACGAACGACCTACCACATGTTGATACACATCCCAACCAAGCCATTCCATTTTTTATTTTCTATTATGACGATGATTTTATTGAACTGCGTTTCAGTCGAGATTATTATTTTTTTCCTTAATAATTTAAGAATATATTTTTCATAAGGATAGTTCCCGGCTCATTAATTTAATATTTTATCCTATATATATAAAAAATCTATTTATTTAACCAATAAAAAATCATCATATAAATCTTTAATTAGCTTGTACTCAACTCATTTTAATTTATCTACTCATTTAATACCCATTAAATGCTCCGTTAAATTTAATTTACCCTATAATTTTTAAGAAATGTTTTTTATTCTTAAAATTTATTTATTTATTTTTTTGCATTTTAGTCATTTATTTGTAAGTTTTTTGTCCTTTACATTTTAGAAAAAAATATTTTGGTCCTTAATTTTTAAATTTTTTTTTATAGAATTAGATCCTTACATGTTAATAAAAAAATCTAAATAAATCAATGAGTATTAATAGGATTAAAAAATGGGTATCCATACTCTAAAATCATATTTATGAGTATTTATTTTTTTATTCTTATTCATTTCAATACCTATTGGATATTTTTAATAAGTATTTATTAAATTAGATAAAGCGAATACTTATTTTATATTCGATCTATTGCCATTCCCAATATCGATTTTGTATATTAAAAAATACTTCATTAATTTTTTTCTAAATACTAATTCTAAAGTTTGAATATATATATGAAAAAAAAATCTCTTTAACCATCAAAATAAATCTTTTGAAGTACAGGTATTGTTCTATGGTTGGTTCCTTCACCAACTACGCATTAGTTCAAGCAAAGTCTCACTCCAATATGCATATAAGATATTGCAATCACCAAATTAGAACCTAACTACAATCATATTGCCCAAAATACCCTTTAAAATTTCCCAACTTAGGAGTAAATGACATAAAATGTAGAGGTTCGGTATCATAGTTAAGATACATTTTCTCTTAGCTATCAGAATTCATCATTGAAGAATAAAATTTCATTAACTAAATACTTAATATATATAAGACGTAAAACATATATTGAATATTCTATTCCGTAGATATAGAAAAGTATTTTACAATTTATTAAAGTTTTTTTTTGGTTTTACTTAGATATTCTTATTTTATATTAAAAATATAACTAATTTTATTTAGAATAAAACTGATAAAATTTAATATTTTTTAATAAATACGATTTTAAAATTCACGTTAAAAAAATTCATTTGAAAACTAAATTTTTTACAACCAAACAAACAAATTGTTAGTGTTAAAGAATAAATTTTAAATTCAATGGATTTTATATCCATTTTCTTTTTTTTTTTGGTTAGTTATACATCAAAATATAGTTTGGAATATGCATGAAATATAGATTTTTTCATATATAAGCAGATATGAGACATTTATTTCGTCCAGTCATATCCAATCCTATCTCATGTGTTCGTTAATTTTGAAAGCGAACCGTAGAATAAAATTAAAGAAACGAAAAAGGAAAAAATTGCAGGGTTATTTTGGTCAAAAACTAAACTTAACCTATAAATTAGTTGGGACCTGCAAGCTTGGAAAGAACCACAGAATAACCCTTTTGTCTTTATTTTCCTCTGTGGTTACTGGCTCCACGTTTTTACTATTTGGTTGGACGCAGGCAAATCCTAGGCGAACACAAGAGAGACACGGACAGAAAGATAACTTATCGGGAGATTTGGAGAGAGAAGCTCCGAAGGAAAAAATAAACCCACCCAGAGACCATCTTCGGAGCTTCCATTGCCTACCCAGAAAACAAGAGTTTCAATCTTTCAGGTTTTATCTCCATCAATCACTCTATAAATCCAGCAAAGGCATGTTTTCTTTACATTAATAGTTCTATTTTTATTTCATTTCTATGTTTAGATTCTAATGTAAAATCTCCAAATTTGAATACCTGTTTCAGGTTTTTGAGAAATATTCATTGTTGGAGCGACTTTTTATTGGAAGTAATGAAATTTATTGTTTTGGCTAAGAGGGCGATTGTATTTGGTTAAGAGGATAAGATGCCATCTGTGGTTGTTTTGAAGCTGAATTTTGGATTAAGGAGAGCTATAGTTGGTAGAAATTTGGTTTCTTTGGTGTCGAATACTAGTAAGTTGTCACCAAGGAGGTCTCTTGCTAGGATTTCAATGGCTGCTTCTAGTTCCAAAGCTGTGTTTGGTGATGTTCATTTCGATGACATGATTGCCACTTGTGGGAATGGATTGGACTTTTCAAAACCCAGTGGTGTCTTTTTCTCTGATAGAAGTCGTTCTAGTTGTCTAAAAGCCAGTGTTAAAATGAGATATGGTGAGTTGCCGGATACTCGTTTGGTGTGTGGAAACTTTATGTTTGATGCAATTAGAGGGAATGGTAAAGCAAAGAATTTAGTTCTTGGGCCGTGGTTGAAGAACTTGCATTCTTCATCTTCTGCGTGTTTCTCTGCTGCGTCTGCTCAAGATGTGTCATTTGATGGGAATTCTCGCGAGGAACGGCTAGTAGAGTCCACTATGGTATCTGGCCAGTATGTGCTCTCATCTTCTGTCTGTTTCAATTAGTTTTCTTTCTTTGGTAACTTATTTTAGAGTTCTAATTTCTTTAAAGTCAATTACAAGATTGCGGTGCAATTATTCTTGGTTTCTCTTTATTCTCAATGGGTTTGGAAGTAGTGAAGCAAGGGTTTGGTGACACTGTACAAAATATTTTAGTCACTTATTTGCATGCTATTAACTTCGGAAATATTGTTGATGACAGAAACTTGAAGCTACTCTCAGGATCATGTTACTTGCCACATCCTGATAAGGAAGCGACCGGTGGGGAAGATGCTCACTTCATGTGTGAAGATGAACAAGCCATAGGTGTAGCAGATGGTGTAGGTGGCTGGGCAGATGTAGGAGTCAATGCAGGGGAATTTTCTCGTGAACTTATGTCTCATTCATTACGTGCAATTCAAGAGGAACCTGATAGTTCCATTGACCCAGCCAGGGTTTTGGAGAAGGCTCACTCAAACATGAAAGCTAAGGGTTCTTCGACGGCCTGCCTCATTGCCCTTAAAAGTGAGGTATGTTGTCCTCTTTTAACAGGTCAAATGACACCAGCTATTCACTTAATATTACAATTGACAGGATGTTGTGGCAGGAATAGCATACTGAATAGTGTTAACACAATCTAATGAGCTCTGCTCTGCTAGATGCAGATGGTGCTTTGGTTAGCTTTGGTTATTGTTTTGAGTCAGAATCAGTCGTTCAATCTTCAATGCGCTTTTATTTATTACTTTTTTCTTCGAAGAATGAAAATTCCTTAAGCTAGTATAACAAAGATGGTTTGTCCAGTCCTGCGTCTGAAAACGTGAAGTTTTCAAAAAGTGGGCAGTATATTTTAAGTTTAAGGTCTTTAGTTTCTGCTATGGTATTGCAAATTTCAGTCTCGTTCTGAAAACCAAAGCCCTTGTAACACAATACAATTACTTAATTCTATATCTGGCAGATAAGAAGCCTGTTTCATGAAATTGTCATAAACAATATGTGTACCTTCCAATCTCTTTGTTTTGGATAGGATGTTGATAGACCCTAGACTGAAGATACTAGGCTGTTGGGACTTAGCAAAATCAAGCTTAGAGTTTACTTGGCCTTGCATGTGGATTGGAATGTACAAGCATTTTCTTACTCTTAGTACATCCTGCCTTTGATTGGTCAACTTACTGTGGAGATTATTACTAGACTTGCGTTTCATTTTTTCTGCACCTGTATTTTGTTATGTTTGTTTCTTAAGTGCTTCTCTATGGTTGCTTCATTAAGTATGCATCAAGTGGAAGCTACTGTTTAAGACTGTTGTCTTCCATGGACTACTTCTTGCCACAGGGAATAAGTGCTATTAATCTGGGAGACAGTGGATTCATGGTGGTTAGAGATGGATGTACTATCTTTCAATCCCCAGTGCAGCAGCATGGTTTCAATTTTACATATCAACTGGAAAGTGGCAATGGAGGTGATCTACCCAGCTCTGGGCAGGTCAGTCAGCGCTCTCTAATCCTCTTTTTTCTCCCTTTTTTTGTATGCGTGTGTGCAGCTTTGTACCATATTGTAGCATGCTTTCATATGTGTAACATAGTCTATTTGTTTGCTATACAAAAGAAGCCTTGCCTTGGTTTTGCTATTGTTAGTTTTTATCTCAATGGATCTTATATATTGTCTGTCCATATGCTGCTACAATACTACCTTTTATAATAGCTAAATTGATGATGTGAATTCAACTTGTTGCTTGCCTGGATCTCTCTAATGTGTCCCTGTCAGTTACATCCTCTCTTTTCTCTCACGTAGCTTTGTATCTAGGTCATATTAAGAAGGCAAATAAGTCAGTTAAGTTTAGGCTAGTTTTGAGCCTCAGTGGTTTGCAATTTTTAAGTGCTAAAGTACTTGTTGCCAATGTCTGGTTGACATGTGATGTATCAATAACAGTGGTTGTCTTTCTTTCAAAAGTATTGGAAACTGATTTGAGTTTAATTCAATGAGTGACCGGCATGAAATTTTTAAAAGAACGACTGTCCTGACTCTAGCATCCTTTTGGGATTAATGGCCCCAGGTTTTTACAATTCCTGTTGCTTCTGGTGATGTCATTATAGCTGGGACAGATGGATTATTTGACAACTTATATAACAACGAGATTACTGCTGTTGTGGTTCATGCTATAAGAACTGGCCTAGGGCCTGAAGCAACTGCTCAGAAGATTGCAGCTTTGGCACGTCAGCGAGCAGTGGATAGGAACCGGCAGACGCCATTTTCCACTGCAGCTCAAGATGCTGGGTATCGCTATTATGGAGGCAAACTAGATGACATCACTGTCGTTGTGTCATATATAACGAAATCTGCCAATAAGTGATTCTGTCTTCTCTTACATGGCTACACTGTTTATTCACATATTCTTCTTGAGTTCTTTGATGCGGCTAGAAATGCCATGTAGTTCTGTGTTTTTGACGAGATACCATGTTGAGGAAGTTCTTTATAATGGCAATCTATTCCTTGGACAACCCCAGTTTTGATGAATGAAGCATTGTACTCCCCTTTTCTTCCTTATCCTCTGCAATTGTTTTTATTTATTTTGTGATTTCGGCTCTTAGAAACAGTTGAAAAATGCTTGTTGCGTCCACAGTTGAAAAATGGCAAAAAATGATTTTAACGAGCAGGACCAATATGCTTAGCTCAATAGCTGGTTAAGCTAGTCACACTCACATTTTAGGGTTTTTCAGAAGCAAGTCGTCTCCAAACTCAAATTGTTTGTGAATCATTGTTCGCAAATTCTGAGCTAGCGAATAGGTCAACTGTCCCTTTTTGGCCCAGCTAACAGTCACTAGTAAAGGTGTCATACAAGCTGATGAGTTTTATCTTAGCTTACATCCTTGGTTTTGTGTTATTTGTTATCATTTAACTGATAGGTGAAGCAGAATGAAAAACGATTCTCTTCGCTTGTTTTGGATTAGCAACTCTTCAAACAGACTCTGGGATGGCACCATAAGAATTCAGTTCTTAAACTTCCTGGCTCCAACCTAATATTTGGTTCGAGGAGTACTACACAAAGCTGAGTGTCTCTACTTTCAAGTACGCAATTACATACTCAATTTTCTTTTACTTTTAATTCATTTAAAAAACGTCCCTTTACGATTTTAGCAGTAGACAAGTAGTCTTTAGAATCAAATTTAAATGGAACTGCTTTATTTTCATTTCCATATTCAAATATTTGATATTTTGAACTCATTCTATTAGCAAGCCTGCTGCCTGATGCCTGTTCAAAGGTCGATTTTGTAACGATTATCGTAGAATTCGTCTACCTTTTGGCAGGAAATTTTTTATCAATTAAGCAAAACAAAATCAATGTCCCTATTCCTTTCAACCACTTGTAAGAAACATGAATTGCAATGCTCATTACATGAATTTGTACATCCAAACTAATGAAAAAACTGATCTCACTACATGAAACACATAATGTCCAGAACTGAGTGCAAAGCATAAATCCCAAAGCTTATTGCAAGAGTGGTTGAAACCCGTAAAAACAAGACACTGCATCTATAGGAGGTTTTATTTTCGTAGATAAGGAAAATGCTTGGGAATTAGGCAAATTTAGAGGTTCCACACTTTTCTTAACGTTCTTCTTCCTATCCCTTCATCACCTTTACGCTCTTGATCTTCTTTTCTAGCTTCCACTTCTTCTTCCTCTGGTTGTTCCCCTCCTCCTTCACGTCTTTCCCTTTCCTTGGCCTTTTCTTCTTCTTGTCTCCTTGCCTCTTCATGCTCCCTCCTCGCTGCCTCTTCTCGTTGTCTTTGTTCCTCTTGTTGCCTCTTTTCTTCTTCTCTTCTTCTAGCCTCTTCTTGCTCCTCTTCTTCTTGCCTCTGTTTTTCTTCCTCCTCTTGTCGTCTCCTCTCTCTCTCAGCTTCTTCCTGTTCTCTTCTTCTCTCTTCTTCTTTTTGTCTCTTTTCTTCTTCTCTCTTTCTGGTCTCCTCTTCCTCTCTTTCCCTCTCCTTCTCCTCCTCTCTCTTCTTTGCTTCCTCTTCTTCCCTTTCCTTCTCCTCCTCTCTCTTCTTGGCTTCCTCTTCTTCTCTTTCCCTCTCCCTCTCCTCCTCCTCCCTCTTCTTCGCGGCGGCTGCTTCTCTTTCCCTCTCCTCCTCCTCTCTCTTCTTGGCTTGCTCTTCTTCTTCCTCTCTCTTTTGTGCCTCCTCCTCCTCCCTCTCCTTCTCTTCTTCTTTCTTTCTAGCCTCCTCTTCCTCCCTCTCCTTTTCTTCCTCCTCCTTGCTCTTCCTAGCTTCCTCCTCCTGCCTTTCCTTTTCAATTTCTTCTTTCATTTTAGTCTCCTCTTCCTCAGCACAAGAAGTGCAATCTAATATGAGTGCTTTTTCCTGAGCATTTAAAAGCTGATCCATTGTGGTGTTAGTAACATTGAAAGACACAGCCAAGATGCCTCTGTCCAATGTTCGGAGGATTGACCTCTTCCCTGTCAGAAATTGAGGATGATTTCTCTTTGGTGATGTGCTGAACCCCATGAAAACAAATGAATCATTGTTGAAAGACATTTGAGCCATAGGATGGAACCTAGACACTGCAAAAACATCCCCTTCCTTAACCTTAAACCTCACGTTTTTGCACTCCGACTCATTTGCTGTGCTAGGACAAACCACCCGAACCATACCGTGCCCGTGTAACACTACTGCTATCTCGGTTGCCATTGGATTCCAATGCGGCCCCATCATGGATCCCTGAAACAAAAACCATCAATGGAAATGCTAATGAGAACACTAGCTAGTAATTCCCAGCTTCATTCTAAGCCACGCTATAAGAGCAAAGCTTACAATAAGTTTATAAATTACCTTTGTCAAGTTCACCATGAATATTCCAATGTTGGAATGTCTTAGTGACCTCAACCTATGTTTGTCTACAGTCAGACTCCACCCATTACAGTTCTCAAAATCTGGGTCAGCATCTAGAATGTTGAAAGTCTTGGTTTCTTTGGTTTTCTTATGTTTGTTGCCCATCAGAATACCTACCAATCGGTCTTCTAATTCCCAATATACTGACTTCCGATCTTTTGTTACCGCAGGAACCACTGCTGGTGGCTTTGTCGCACTGGTTATTTCCTCTAACACTTCTTCAGGGACCTTGAGAAACCAGTTTGCAGTATATGTTTTAGTACATCTCTCAGAAATTATAACTTAGATGCACAAAGCTATGCTCATAAAGGACTTCAAACTGATGTTATTGACTAATATAATCAAATGTATAAAAGAGTATTTAGCCCCAGAACAATATTCTACTTCAGATCTATAGCACCAATAACACAAACATTGATGATATAAGAATGCTAATTAAGTAGACAAACCTATAAGGAACAAATCATCAATCATCGTACCTTAAAAGCTGCTTGAAGCACTTTCCTATCAAATCCAAGGACCATATCTCTGATGCTAGAGTATGCTCCAATTGATGGCTCCTGCATTAATATTTTCAATATCCAAAAGAAAGGATTATTACAGCTCTAAACTACTTCTGTTAAAATTTTTTTTCTGAGGTTAAGAAGTACCAGGTAATTACAGAAAAATAAAACAAAAGACAATGAAGAAAAGGAGAAAAAGGTCTCAAGAATCCCTTACATAAACATCCTCATCTGTATTGGAAAAGATAGCATGGATCCTCATCCTCTGTCTTTCTGAGTCTTGGTTACTTTGCACAAAGAAAACCGAGCCTGCCTGCAGTCTATAAACATCTCCTCTCTGTAAATTCATTCTCTTCATTTCTGTTCCATCAGTCCAACTCAACTTCCCATTCCCTGAATCCAATAGCGAAAACATAAACATACAGTGGAATTAATATGGATCTTCTAGTCCAAGCAACACTGGCTAAGCTCGAAAAATTACCTGTGTGTACATAAAAGACCATGTCAGCATGGAGAAGTACAGGAAGCAACAAGGAGTTTGGCTCCAATGTGAAGAACTGGATATGGTACGGCCCTTTTGTTCCAGTACTAATTTCAGCAGCTGAAATCTCTCCATGTTCTGTCACCACCAAAGACCTCCTGTGTCCTCTCTTCACCAGATAAGTTCTCACCCCAGCTGGAACGTCCTCGCTCAAGGCCTCAGAGCCACAGAGTAGCAGTAAACCGAAAAACAAGAGTGATAAAAGAGATGAAAATGGCAGTTTTTGCAGCATTTTTAGCAAATGAATGAACTCCTAGGTAGCTAGTGATTGGGTTATAGCCATGGTGATGATCTATATAGAGAGAGGACGAGGAGCTACGTGTCGTCTAGGTGGACACGTAGAGATGTTAATGGAGTTACGTGGCTATTCCTTAGATGAACTCTTCCCTCTAAAATACAAGTTGGTTCAGATTTGTTTGATCTTTTTTTCAGGGAGGAGGTCCTGTTCTTGCTTTAAAAAATAGTTTCATTTCTTGAAATGATAGACCTGATTTTCGGCGACAAGTGTGGACCGGTTCGAGTACTTTCACGTTTTATTTCTTGTTGTTTTTGGACCAAGGTGAGGGAGTGTCTGTACTTTCTATGTCTATCGGGCTAAATTATAAATTAGTCCCTTTTGTTTTGATAAATTAATTAAGAATATTGTTAAATTCACCAATCATTATTATTCCCTACTATTTTTTTCTAGACAATTATCAATACACCCTTCACCAATTATTAATAACTATTATATAATAAATATTAGTGGAGGATATATCGGTAATTTTTTACAAAAAATTGGTGGGAATAACAATTTGATTGGAGAATTTAATAGAATCTATTAATTAATTAGTTCTTTTTGTTCCAAAACTAATCATTTAGTCCCTTACGTTTTAATTCGTTCTATAATTTATTCTTTTCGTCAAATTTTCGTTAAAGTGGTGATGGAGTATTCTTACAATAGTATTTTTATTTCTAAATTGCTATTTTTTGTGTATTATTTCTTTTCTTTATACACATCTTCTCCATTTTTCTCTCTTCAAGTACCAAAATAAATTTCTATTTCTCTTCTCAAGCATCAAAACAAAATTTCTCTCTCATCAAATTTCTACTTTTCATTTTATTAATCTCAACTCTTTCTCTCTCCTCAAGCTTCAAAATATATTCCTATAAATGTGTATGTATGTTAAAAGATATTTTTAAGTATTTTGTGTTAATTTAACATGTTTGTCTATGTCTATATTAGTCCTTTTTGTTTTGATAAATTAATTAATTAGTTCTTTTTTTCCAAAATTAATTATTTAGTCTGTTACGTTTTAATTTTATCAATAATTTATTCTTTTTATCAATTTTTCATTAAAAGTGGTACTAATGAGGTATCTTTACTGGAGTATTTTTATTTCTAATTGTCTTTTTTTTTTTGTGTTTTATTTATTCTCTCTTCTATACACATATTTTCCATTTTTCTCTCTTCAAGTACCGAAACAAAATTTTTATTTCTCTCGTCAAATCTCTACTTTTTTATTTTATTAATCTCTTTCTCTTTCCTCAAGCACTAAAATATATCTCTATGAATGTGTATATGTATTAGAAGATATTTTAAGTATTATTTGTTAATTTGACATGTTGAACAACAATTTAACGACAATAGATTAAATAATTATTTTTTAAAATAAGAAATAATAATTAAATTTTTTTTTAAACGAGAGGGACTAATTTATAATTTACTCCGTACCACGATGATACTGTTAATATTTTAAGCGTGGTTTCTAATTCCATTCTAGTTTGACCAATGTAGGCCTACAATTGCTACCTTATAGCTCCAGTTCTTTGGACAAAACATGGGCTAAGATTAGGCCCGTGAACTTCTGGGAAAATGGGCCCTAGTAGAACAAATCAATTGCCTTTGTTCATTTCAAGCATTTTTTTATAGGGAAAAAAAAAAAAAAAAAAACCATCAGCTTGTTTATGGAGATGATACACTCCATAGAGGAAGAACGCTACGTAACACAATATTTTTGCATACCAAAGAAGACAAAACAAAAGACAAAGGATTAATATCCTTTTTACAACGGTGAATATTTTAATGCAATATCTGAATTTATGATTTGTTAAAGAAATGTATTCATTCTCCAATATATGTTATTTTAATTATTTAAAATTATATTAAATGAAGATAATAAACCCAAAAATCATGTCACGCTTAAGTTTCATGAAGTTAGCATACATGAGATTCAAGCTAGAGCCCTGCCGAATACCAACGCTCTAAAAATTATAAATTATACTCCCTCTGTCTCAATTTTTTTTTTTTAAATATTTGTTTGGTCGAAATTTTAAATAATATACCGTATTAAAATATTCCTAATTGAAAAAAAAAATCAATTCTATCTTTCCTTTTCTGTTCTTCACTAACAAAAAATCAATATTATTTATATTCTCTCCTCATACATACAAATACTTTTAAAATAAAAAATTCAAAAATAAATTTTTTGTTACGTAAAACATATTTATTTTTATAGAGATTTTAATGCATTTCAAAATTTTGAGGATAAAATATTTTTATAAGTATGTTATTTTTTTTTATATTTTTTTTAAAAACTAGATTGTTAATTAGTTTAATGATTTTTTCTTTAATTTACCACCTTAATTTTAAATACATTTTATCCTTAAATTAATATTATGGAATGTAAAATTAAATTTTATAACTAAAAATTTTAACAAAGATAATATTTTAGTAAAATAGGAAAAAAAATACCGATATGATATAATAATTAATAATTTTTTTAAACTATGTAAAAAGTCAAAAGAAATGATTTCGGAACGGAGGGAGTATATCAAATCAAGAACTTCAAAAGTCAAAGTCAAGGAAAATAAAATTTTACAGGCTAGGTGAGTGACCTTATCTTTAATGACATCACTCTTAATTGGAATAATGTTTTTTTTTATTAGTTTTTCATAAAATAGCGTATTGATTTAGATATATTAATAATCATTTTATTTATTTAAAAATTAACCTGCCGCATAAATCTAACGAAATTAAAAAGTAGAAAAATTAGTCAATTGAGTTCTTAGAATAGATTTTTTTAGTTTTCATGAATGTTTCAGCTTAGCTTAGCTTTATTTTTTACGGAATGCCTCTTAGATATATATATTCTGAACAATTTTTTATTGACTTTTTTTAATTAATTTTAATATATTGATTTCATAACAAAAAAAAAAAAAAAAATATCTGCCTTTTTCATCTTGAAAAAATTAAAGAGAAATAAATTAACAAGTTGACTTTGTAGGTGAAAGCAATGTTTTCTAACCCTAGCAGCGTGTGACGCATAAAAATTCTTTTCCCAAGTGGATGATCTGAGTTGGTGATTTCACGATGAATTCAAGTGGCAAAAGAAGTAGTAGTACCAAGAAACAACTTTCCCTACAGACCACATAATCCTGTGATTTCAACTAGACTGTGTGGTTCTTCATGGTCCCCATAATGGCAATGAAATTAAAGGAAGAAACTAGCATGGGCCACGTACAAAATGTGAATGGAATCACATGAAAACTTGAATAATTGTGGTCATAAAGAAAACTAATTGAATCATATGGTATTTTTCCAAAGCAAAACCAACATATCCTAAGGATCCTACTCATATATATCGTAAAAGGACTTGTTATGTTGCATGTAAAAAAATAGAAGATAGAAGATCCGCCACTATCATGCATGCCCGATTTGATGACCCTCCACTCCTTCCTTTCTCTTCCTTTTTCTTTTTTAGTGACAGTGTAGAGACTATCTTTTTACGTGAATGATTAAAAATTGGAATCTCAAACCCTAACTTTTGTGATCTACAAGCTGCCCTATTAATTCTCTCTCTCTTTAATATTTTTTTTCCTATTCATCGCGTGTGTTCCGTGTACTTAAGAGCCTTAATTCCTAAGTAATTGACTTCAACCGTCTTAATTATAAATTATTTCTCGCAATTACAATTCAATGTTCATCACGAGTTCATGAAAAATATTAATTTTCTTCGGAGGATGCTAAAGAAATTCTGGCATGCCTCGTATTGGAATTTCTTATGTCATGGAATCGTTTGGTTTTGTTGTGTTGTATTGTCTTTTCTACTTTATTGTCATTTTCAAAGTACGAAGCATATGTTTCGAATTTCATAAAAATTACTACAGTTTAATTCTATAGTATGATTTTGCTATGTGGACAAGGCTTGTCGGGGAAATTGTGTATATGTATATTGAAGAATTTTATGGGAAAAAAAGGGAAAAATGTTGGACATAATATAATATTTTAAAATGTAAGATTATCATGAGTTCTTTGTTATAATAGAACATTGCTTGCCTTATTTCTACCTAATAAAAATTCTAAATATATATAACTCAACAACTTTTTTTTTCTTTTGTTTTTGAGATTAGTTCGCTTGCTAACAATTTGTTGGTTGTAACTCAACAAATTAAAAGGATTAGATCGTTAGCGAAAAGGAGAAAAAAGAAAAAACAAAGGAATAGTAATTAGATTGCTTAAATGCAATGAAACAACCAACTCAACTTGCATCCTCTCCGATCAAACTTTAGTTTCCTCGACCTTTCTTTTCCTCGTTATTGTGTATGTGTAATAATAGGAACAGAACAGTTGCAAGCTGGTATGCTCATTTCCTTTGTAATGCCGCACCACTAGCCATTCTTTTTCGTGAGGATGAAGATTAATAACATATTAATTGAGATCTATCTCAATTTTGGTGCTGCTAGGATATGTGAGTAGCTTTTTTTTTTTTTTAATTATTTTTTTGTTGATAATGAAGATTAATAACATATTAACATTTAATTAAAAATCAAATTAATTATAAAAGTATTATTATTGAACACAAATTGTTATAATAAAGATAATTATACTGATTAGTTATCTATTTGAAATACTTAATTAATCTAAAATGGCAAGTGCACTCTCTTTCCTCCTTTCTTTTTACTTATTTTTCTTTTTAAATTTTATTTATACATAATTTAGGTTCAATTTTTCTGTAATTTTTTTTTATCTCAGAATTTATATACATTCGTTTTTAATTACAAATAGTGTATAATTTTTAATTATAAAAAGCACTAATCTATTGGTTTGTTGAATTAAAACTATAATTTTTAATAAATAATTTTTTTTATTATATGAAAGCATGGGCAAAAGGTACGTAATTAGCATGTAGCATTGGATCCCTTTAAAAATGTTTCCATCATAGAACAATAACACAAGAACATAATTCTAAT